CCATGCCGGGCTCTTCTGTGTCCAGTTCGAATGCACGTCTACCCTACCTTGGATTACCTTTTTGGAACACTACTTTCTATACCAACATTTGATGCTTCACTACCTTACTATCTAAGTTATGTCTGGATAGATGTCTACCTTATCAAAGTAAAAAATAGCAAATATAACAGAATCATTAATGTCTTAAACAAAAAATATATACATCTATGGTCAAGCGTTGCATAGTGGTTAGCGTACCGGACCTTCAATATGAGGGTTCATGGTTCACGTGCGGTTGTTGCAAAACTGTGCTTCTCACGTTGTAGCTGTATGTGCGTTATAAGAGTATCAGTCAAATTCAATTATCTGACTAACTGCCTTGCCCTTTAGTGTTTTATTTCGAATTAAGGACGGCTAGCACAAATAGCCATTGCGTAGCTTTATAATATCTAATATAAGCGAAACCAATTTATTCCCAACGTTTTGACAATAGGTAAGTGCCTGGTGTAGGACTATTGCGGTAACTTTACAAATAAATTCAGTTCTTCGTTTGAGAAGTTAAGGCACTGTATATTTCTGACCTTATCCTTTAACAAAGAATATATGTAGCTTTAAATATTAGTACTAGGTCTTCAGAGAAGATATACAACTCCCAAATAGTTCAGTACAGGCAGAAAATTTACATTATATAAAAGAATCAGAAGAATGAATAGACAATCATACTTTAAGTGTAACCCATACAATAGTAGCTATAATAACAGATGGTACATTAATAGATGAGTGGATAAATAATTAGAAAAAGATATGATACAATCATAAAAAGAAAGGTGAATTTTACGCATTATGATATCATATAAAAATACCTTTTGGGTTAAATGGTGTCATTTTTCTATTATTCTTCAGTCATAACTGAAAATTTCAAGTTGATAGCTGGAAATACAGAATCATAAAAAAAATTCATATTTAAAATTGCTGTTATAGGTGAGCTGCATTTCACCAGTGACATTGATAACAACAAGTTTTATTAAAGAAAGTCTGGATGTAGTAAAAGAGGTTTCAAAACGTTTTCTCACTTTAGATAAAATATGTATTCTGAATAAAATGTCAGTGATGTGCAGAGTGTTCTAGGGATATATTAACACTGGCTTCATTTAAATAAGATATGTATTCTGAATAAAAGGTATGTCAGTGATGTGCAGAGTGTTCTAGGGATATATTAACACTGGCTTCATTTAAATAAGATATGTATTCTGAATAAAAGGTATGTCAGTGATGTGCAGAGTGTTCTAGGGATATATTAACACTGGCTTCATTTGCTCATTGGAAATAGCAACAAACTTATTGATACAGTTTTTGAAACTTCTCTACCCTATCCACACTTGGATATGCAACTTGTGATATCTACTTTCGGTAGGATAACTCACTTTTACAGTATTACTATTCTAAATATCGGGTTTTCATTACAATCACTTTCTAACTTCATTTCATAACTCTGTGTAGATACCTCACGGTATGATAATTATACATAGTTATAACACTTTCTACAGAATCATGTCATAATGCAGTGTAGATGCTGCACGGTATGACAAATATACATACTTATAATTCATTGAAAAGTAATACACGAGCTCGATGGTGGATAATGTACCATGGACTCTTCGTGCTTCGAATCACTCGCATTTGCAAGAGAAAATCCCCCCAGTGGCACAGCGGTATGTCTGCGGACTTACAACGCTAGAAACCGGATTTCGATACTCGTGGTGGGCAGAGCACAGATAGCCCATTGTGTAGCTTTATGCTCAATTGCAAACAGCAAACAGCAGCAAGAGAAAAAAATCACAAATGTTAGAAAAATTATTTCAAAAACTTATTTCTTCGCTATTATTTTTTATATTAAATGAAACAACTTTAATACGATATTTTGACCCGTTATGTTTACTTTACTTGTAAATATATATATATATATATATTAGTCTTCATTTGGTGGTAAAGCTTTAATAATATTTTCATGCCTTTTTTCAAATTTTTCATGCAATGTAAATATTCCCTTTAAAAGCAAAAGACACGTGATTAATACATAGCGTCATATTTCTCATATTTTTAACTTGAGCTTAACCGTATATGTACGACTGGGTCAAAGTGCGCATTTCACGATCTTAAAAAAGTACGTTAAGACTCCAAAAACCCTGTATGCTTCAAAATTTACTGGTTTTCATAGTGAAATGTAGTTTTAAGATGCATTATCACATGGGTGTATATTTAGAAACTAAACGTAGATAAGACTGGTTTTCATAGTGAAATGTAGTTTTATCACATGGGTGTATATTTAGAAACTAAACGTAGATAAGACTGGTTTTCATAGTGAAATGTAGTTTTATCACATGGGTGTATATTTAGAAACAATACGTAGATAAGACTGGTTTTCATAGTGAAATGTAGTTTTATCACATGGGTGTATATTTAGAAACTAAACGTAGATAAGACTCGTTTTCATAGTGAAATGTAGTTTTATCACATGGGTGTATATTTAGAAACTAAACGTAGATAAGACTGGTTTTCATAGTGAAATGTAGTTTTATCACATGGGTGTATATTTAGAAACAAAACTTAGATAAGACTGGTTTTCATAGTGAAATATAGTTTTAAGATGCATTATCACATGGGTGTATATTTAGAAACTAAATGTAGATAAGGTAAGTGAAAGTATTTGACTGTGTGACAAAAGTCCTTTTAAATAAACTTTATCTTTCAACATAACTTCTTTGACAGGCTCGAAACAAAAGAGAGACTACACTCTACAAAAACTTCTAAACATTTTGAAAAAAGTTGCTGCCTATCGTCGACGTCCGGTCCGCATCATTGGAAAACACATGAGATTTGGGATTAGTAAGAAGTAAGACAGCTACCGAAGTCGATGAATATGAATATTCTACATTCTAGTGTTTGATGGAATTTTCTGGAATCTTGCTTTAATTGTAGTTTTTGGTTTTGGTGTTTCTTACTATAGATACTGGCAAAGTAAAAAAATAGCTCTATATGATTAATAGGTAGACTTGCAATAATACTGATGATTGTTTGATTAGGTCCGAGTGCCTCAATATTCAAAAAAGATTTGTACTGAAAGCGCCATCTGATGAGATCTGTGATGTACCTAAGCAACCATAAAATATATATTATTGTCTTATTGAACCAAGATGATGGCTCTGTAGCTTTCAGATTTTGAATAAAGATATATCTAAAACAACCTGAGATAAAATAGAATCAACCTTTATCTTTGATATTTAAAAATGTCATATATATATATATATACTTAAATTTATATCTCATCTGCTCCAACTATTAATTTCCGAGGTGTTAATTGAACGTTATGTTAGGCATAAATCTCCCTTCTTTGACACTATATATGATAATACATATTATTTAACGTTCTTTGGAGTAATAAAACTTCCCATTGCTAGAATATCCTTATTATTGTTATATTATAATAAATTACTCCAAACATGATAAGATAATTAAGTTCGTGATAGCTTTTCGAAATATGTACTTTGATGTGATCAATAATAAAAAAGTTCAAAGTGTAAATATAATTGATGGTCTCGTATTTTAAGATTAATTTCAATCAAACTTTGGGTATTGATTTTATAAACCAACAAACATCAGAAGAACTCAGAGGTAGCTATTGTAGTATATTTGAGAGGAAAGGAAAGGGTCGACGTGTTTTTTGTTGTTTTTTTTAAAGCTCGAAGTAATTACATCACATCTTTCAGGACTTTGAAACGAACTGAAAATGTAGGGAACATAATTCCAAGGATTTGACTGATTGAAGTTCACCATACTGAACTATCATACTGCCTGACCTAGTGAAGGGAACATAATTCCAAGGATTTGACTGATTGAAGTTCACCATACTGAACTATCATACTGCCTGACCTAGTGAAGGGAACAACAACTATGACTGAGTGAAGTTCACCATACTGAACTATCATACTGCCTGATCTAGTGAAGGGAACAACAACTATGACTGAGTGAAGTTCACCATACTGAACTATCATACTGCCTGACCTAGTGAACGGAACATAATTCCAAGGATTTGACTGAGTGAAGTTCACCATACTGAATTATCATACTGCCTGACCTAGTGAAGGGAACATAACAACCTAGATATATATATTTGATAATACAATAGTAATGTTAATTTTAAGCCTAAAGGAAAGAGCGTAAGATAACATTATCTCCTTACCTTGGATGGTAAATAAAAAAATTTAAAAAATCAGAAGTTCAAGAGCGCCAAAAACCGTAGCGCATAAAGAACAGACAAAAAAAACAACAACAAGGATTTTGATATTTTTAACCTGAACGACACTTTTTATGACACAGGGGCTAAGCAGTTATATTATAAATCTCCAGGGTTGAGGTATAGCCGTATTTAATGTTCAACTATTAATAAGATGTAAAGCAGTCAGTTAGCAGCGCCCGCCTGTACAAGGGTTTTGTCCAGCTTTTAACCGAATAATGGTATCAATTGTCACACTTATAACGCGGAAACAGCTGAAAGTGCAGATCGTGTTCAGTGAAATTACGGTATAAAAGTTGGGCCTTCTAATTTGCAGCCTGGTGGAATTGTCACTTGCCTTCAGATAACGATAATCAAAGTTGAATAAATAATTTCAATATGCCATCAAGTAAAGACGTAAAATTACTATTAAGATAAATACTACCTCAAACTCCAGGTTATCTGGAGTTTGTGGTCGTATTTATTCTAAATAGTGATTTGTAGTAGTAAAACTTCTTTAGATTTGAATAAGAATAGATTAAGTAAAAAAATAAAACGTTTAGAGTTGACAAACTTGTTCTCCTTTTTATAAAACAACTTTATGAGCTATACATTCATATTATACTCTAAAAACGAACTTGGTTTTATTTCCTTCTTGTACTGGCAACACCTTTCCAGTTGATTTCCTTTCTATCAACTTTAAAAACCCGAATAAACAATAAATAATATTACTAAACTAAAATAAACTAAATACGACAGAAACAGTTAATTTTTACAATTAAACACTCTAAAATTCAAAATATAAATAATAAGTGACTAAAATTACTTTTAGGCTATATGTATACATATACATCTTCCTTCATATATATGTCGTTGTTATTGGTTGTAGCATGATTTACTTTGTTGTGAATATCTTCAAATACAATAATACCTTAACTCAAGTATCCTAGCAACGACCAAGAATCTTTTAAGCTGAGAGTGAACTGGTGAGACCCATAGTTTTGTTGTCACAGTATGAGCTCGTCAATAACAAAGACTGGCCATTTATCACAGCAGGAGGTTATATATTGTCAAGTTGAAGTTTAAGCTCTTGGTAACAAACATTTTGATTCCAGATAATGGATTTTTAATTTAGTTCAAGAAGATGGCACGAAACACTTTACAGACCAGTTACAGCAGGAGACTAAGTTCGCTTCAAATGGGCATTCTAGAGATGTTTAATTTTTACTGAACACCTACTGCGGTAACTAAAACATGCACATATGTAAGCACTTTGTCGAGTGACTCTGTCTTTTCTTATAACCGTGGTAAAACCAGTTTATTTTCAGCAGAAGAAAACTGTATCCTTTATAGATAAATGAGAAGAGCTAGAATATTTTCATTGCTAACGATATTATCATAACGACTTCTAATTTTTACTATACCAATTTAAGCGGGAAATTTGCGTTTGTCAAGTCTAGGTTTTAAATTTGTTTACAATGTAACGACAGCTGTCTAATATTTGTTTGTTTCTTTATTGTTAAACACAAAGCAACATAATGGGCTAGCTGTGTTGTGCCCACACAGGTATCTGTCAAGAGACTTACTTTTTGAGAAGTAGTAAAATATATATATAGGTGTGTGTTGGTATAAGGTTTCTTCTATAGTAGGTATCTTTGTTGGCGATAACTTCAAAAATCAATGAACAGCACTCACTCCACTTGTTTTCAAAATAATACATATATATTCGGAACGTATGTACAACAAATTATTTACACTATAGAGATTATAGGTATATCATAAACACTATTGTTACTCTCTGGTTGTTGGTTAATTTTCCGTAGAAATTATTTCCAAAAAAAAACAACTTAGCGATACAAGTCCTTTTTTTAAATTAAAACTAGTTTATTATTTCTTGATACAACTTTGTAACAATACAGAATTTCCACCGTCACTTTAAACTTCACTACTTTATTAATACACGTTATAAATCACAGTGATTCACACACTTTAGTTTGTTTGACTCAGTTATCTCTCTCTATGTATACAATCTGCAATTATTCATATCTATGCCGTCACTTCTCGCCTGTCTTATATATACGAAATAGAGGGCGTCTGGAGAACACTCGAGGTTTCACGAACAGACATGATCTTTCTAGACGTGTTACTAGCGTCACGTGACTTCCGCTGTCGTAACACTGCCTCTTCCTTTGTATTGTTCGTCCCGAACAATAGCCACTTGAATTAAACCATTAGAAAATTAACAATAACTTAATTAAATGGACAGAATTGGAAATTCATTTTAGATGGAGCAATATTAAGTTGTAAAAAGGCTTTAATATCAATTAAGTATACAAATAGCTAAATAACGATTTATATCATAAACTATCTTTTAATGCTTGGAGACGGCTTGAATGGGTAATGTTTGGACAAGGTTTTGTCATCATCAGGTACAAAACCTTGTCGAAATGTTGTACGTTTGCAGTTATGTTAAACTTATATTAAATTTTTTCTTCATTACCCATTCAAGCCGTCTCCACGCATTATTAGTCTCAAAGTGGGTTCCTCGTCATCGAATAAACTGCCTTTGTTTTATTACGATTTTTTTTTTCAGTTTGTTTTCAGAATTTGTTTTGTAGTTATACGAGGGCTATCTGCGCTCCTAATTTTGAACTGATTAATTAAAGGGAAGGCATTCAACAGCGCTCACAATCAGCTCCTGGACTATTCATGTCTGA